ATGGTGCCTAAACAGATGGATTTTCTTTCTCCAAAATAAACAAAGACTTGCCTGTTCAGCAGAGGGCAGCATCAGCTCCATTTAAACAAAACTTTAAAGGATTTAGATCATCTTTGCACAAATATTGGGTCCCAATATAACTGTAGTCACATTTGTAGATTAAACCTGTATCCCTCAATTCCCTTTTTCTCTGTAAAGCTGCAATGTCTTTTGTGGACCAAATGTCAAAAATATGTGCACAAGCTGGAGCAAAACAATTATACTGGACCTCTGGTAGAAAATTAATTTTTGAAAGGTTTTAAGGGGATAAATGGTGAATGATTATTCATGTTGGTTGGTGAATCGATAGTGAGAGAGGGAAACTCAGATTTTCACTGAAGAGTTGGAGACTCTTATACATTGATATCAGAATGTAGAACAATTGCCACAAGTTAGTGTTGAAGTTGAGACTAACAATTAAGAGAATTAGATAAACAATAAAAAAAGCTATAAAGTGTAGGGAATTGGGATTAGAAAAGTTACTTTTAGGGGAGGACATAGCACCATCATAGGCTCAATGGCCTCTGTGTTGCTGTAATTCACTCGTTATCTCTTTCAACCAAGGCTAGTCAGTAGCAAAGACCTGGACAAGTCATCATGAGCATCATTGTTCAAGAATGCATTTCAGAGACTTCCCATAAGATGGAAAGAGGGAAGTAATGTTAATGATTGTTGAAGTGGATAAGACATTCATTTGGTTCAGTTAAAATCTGGTGAGGCATTTTTGAGTTGAGCTGTCAGACAGAGCAAATAAACCATGAAATTAATAAATGCTAAAAATGTTGGCAAAAGCAGCTTGTCATGAATATTTAGTGTTCTGCACATTTTAACCAGACCTTACACGACAGGCCCACCATCAGATTCAAATAGTCCATAAGAGATCAAATAATTACAAAAGTGTCTGTCAAACAATTTAAAAGTTTCTTTTAAAATAAGATTGTAAATAAATCTACTGCCTTTTCAGAAAAGATGTGATTTGACAAGTTACGATTTTGGAAAGATCAATAAGGAATTTTTCAAAAAAATATAAATCAGATTATACCAAAATACTATACAATGGTCAAGCTCCACATAATTAGTCGATAGGTTTTTTGTGGGGATACATGTAATGGATCTTGGAAGGAAGCTGGTATATAATCTCTCACTAAACTGATTCCTGAAATTAAACTGTGCACAATAATAATTAAGTGCTCAGGATTACTCACAATTAGTACAAACTGTAAACTATAAAACTCTAGGAATTTTTTTAATAAGTGCACTACTTCAACCAGTGATCCAAAAATCCTCATATGAGAGGAAATTAAATACTGGTGATAGAGTAACTTTATTCTGAGGATGTAATAGATCATTGCTGGAAAGTCAATTGGTTTAGAATTGTTTTTATTAATCTATCAATGGGCCACCAAAGCTCTGTCATGTATCTGACTCCATTTAAAGTCCACCTGAAGACAGTAATAAGCTAATATCTTCAGGAAGAAATCACAATTCAGAAAGGGGTTAAACAAACTATTTCACATAGATAACGCAAGATCAGTCACCATGATTTAAGAGTGGATTGGAATGCTTAACATTTTTCTAGTTCTCTTTTAGAACATTCTTCATGAAGGTGGAGGTGGAGGTGCATTCAGTCTCCTCTTGAATGCACCTCCACTACCTGATTCAACCATTGCTTCAGGCAGTGAGTTCCACGATCTCAATTTTCCCTGCATGAAGCAGTTCTTCCTGAATTCTCTTTTAGATCCCCTAGTCACTATCTTATACTTGTGTCCCCTGGTTATGGCCCCCCCAGTCAATGAAAGTAGCCTAAGTTAACCCTATCAAACCCTTTTATAGTTTTGAACACTCCTATTAGGTTCCCTCTTAAACATCTTTTCTTTAGCAAAAAAAGGCCTAACCTGTACAGTCTATCCTGACAGTAATAACCTGCCAATCCTGGTATCATCCTAGTGAACCTATGCTGTACTCTTTCCATCACTGCTATATCCTTCTCATAGAATAGAAACCAGAATTGGATACAGTAGTCCAAATATGGTCTAACTGCACGTGAATTACTTCACATTTTCCTCCATTACAATTAATTTGCCATCTGTTTATCATACTCTTTGGCTCCCGTCAACGTCTTCTCTTCTGCAGGTCTGAACTCCTCAACCTCCCCTGCATTAATAATAATAATAATCCTTGCATTTGATATAACGCTTTTCACGTTTTCTAGATTTCTCAAAATGCTTCACAGAATATGCTGTAAAGTGAATTGACTGTCTCAAAGCGCTTCACAGAATATGTGGGCGAAACCGGCAGCCAATTGCGCACAGTCCAACAAACAGTTGTGGATTGAAAATGACCAATTTATTATTGTTTTTGTTTTGGAGGGATTATTATTAGGCATATGGAATAAGGAAACTTGCCCAAGGTTTCACCCTGCCGGGAATTGAACCCAGGTGTCTCGCTTGCAAGGTGAGTACTCTAACCACTGAGCTACAGGACTCTACTCTTCTGAACTGATGCAGCTGAAACCCTCGTCCACCCTTTGCCACTTCCCGGCTGGATTATTCTAATGCCCTCTTCGCTGGTCTCCCCAGTTCCACGATACAAAAATATCCAATTAATTCAAAACTCCGTCGCCCAGATACTCACCTTCACGAAACTCCATACCCTCATCACAAAAGTCCTAGCCAGGTTCCACTGGCTGCCAATTACCGAATGGATCGATTTCAAGATCCTCTCACTTGTTTTCAAATCCTTTCATGCCTTGGCACCTCCCTACCTCTCCAACCTGCCTCTGCTCGGCTGGCTTCAGCCTCCTATTTGTCCCTCGTGTCTTCCGTTCAACGGTGGCCGTGCCTTCAGCGCTATGCCCTGAAAATCTGGAACTCTCTCCCTCAATCCCTCCATCTTGCCCCCTCCCTCCCCACCTTCAAATTCCCCCCTAAAGACCTTCCTTTTTGATTGTGCTTACTGTCACCTCTCCCCTCCCTCTGGCTTGTTGTCAGACTCCTCCACTGTGAAGCGCTCTGGGACGCTATCCTGCATGAAGGGCGCTATATAAATGTAAGTTGTTGTTGTTGTGATCTTACCCTTGTCTCCCTTTATGGCCCTATCACTAATTTAACCATTCTTTTACATTAATATACCTGCAGAACACCTTGCTGTTTCTTTTTATATTTTTTGCAATGTTTTCCTCATGGTTCCCCTTTACTTTCTGAGTCGTCTTTTTAACCTCTTTCCCACGCTTGCTGTTTTCATTCCTGTTTTCCTCTCCGTTATCGATTGTGTATTTTTTTTCTTTAGCTGCAGCCTTGTCTTCAGCTCCTTATTCATCCATGGCTTCCCAGTAATAGTTAATTTTCCCTTAATTCTTAATGGAATCTATTTGTCCTGCACCTTTTCTATCGTGCTTAAAAATCTTCCATTATTGATCAACATCTTTGATTGGCAATTTTTGCCCTCCAGTCTACCTCAGCCAGTTCATTCCTCATACTATTATAATTAGCTTTCTTCCAATCAAGAACCTTGGTCCTTGTCCTTTCTATCTCATTTTCTATAATCATTTTGAACCTTATCATATCCAGAGTTAAAATCAATTGGACGTAGTGGTTAATCCAGGTGCCTGTCCCCTTTGGGGACTTCAGATGGAGCCTGACCAGAGGCAAGTATATGCCTTCATTCCAAATCCACAGGAGTACCCAGTGGGAATATTACCTGGATACGTTGAATTTGAAAAATTAATTCATACTTTCTCAGTCACTTAAAATATAGTTAAGTTATATTACAGCATATTTCATTTTAGGACTCAGCACAGCAAGGACATTATTTTCACAACTGCAGGGACCCAAATCCCACAAGAGTGCATACTGGGCTTCTAATGGCCAAAGGAAAGAATGATTTATAACTTGAAGTGAATGAGGTCATTTTATCCTCAAGTCTGTGAAAGGATTACTGTGTGTATGATACTTTGATTAAATGACCAAGAACGTACAAATTAATTTTGCAAATCTAATGCGTCCAGAAAATATTCCGACTTGTTAGTCACGTAGATGGAATGAAGGCCTATGCTTTCCTTTGGTTGGGCTCTATCTCAAGTTCCTGAAGAGGGGAGGCACCTGAATTTACCGCCATGTCCAATTGTCAAACTCTGGATCTGCTGGATTCCATGCTGATTTAATAACCAGTTTTAAGTGCAAGTGAGTAACTGTACGTACATCTCAGCCTGAAGACCATTGGAGTCCTGTAGCTCAGTGGTTAGAGCACTCGCTTTGCAAGCGAGAGACCTGAGTTCAATTCCAGGCAGGGCGAAACCTTGGGCAAGTTTCCTTACTCCACACGCCTAATAATAATCCCTCCAAAACCAAAAACAATAATAAATTGGTCATTTTCAATCTACGACTGTTTGTGGGACATTGCTGTGTGCAATTGGCTGCCGCGTTCGCCCACAAATATACAGTCAATTCACTTTACAGTATATTCTGTGAAGCGCTTTGGGACGTCCTCCCGACGTGAAAAGCGCTATATCAAATGCAAGGATTATTATTATTATTATTATTATTATTGCTATACTATCAAATTGATGTTCATTAATTATAGACAACAGATTTCAATGTAAGACAGTTGAAAGATTTGCCAAATTCTGCATATTCTTCCATTCAGACTGTGGTCTGAGGTCTAAAACTATGAAAGTTCTGGTAGTAAACATTAGATTTTTAGAATGTACGACTGTTTATGGGACACTGCTGTGTGCAAATGGCTGCTGCATTTCGCCCACAAATATACAGTCAATTCACTTTACAGTTTATTCTGTGAAGCGCTTTGAGACGTCTAGAAGACGTGAAAAGCGCTATATCAAAATGCAAGGATTATTATTATTATTTATTATGGAATCAATAACTACAATCTTCCAGTCTCAATCTCTTATTGACTTCTTGAGATGTAAGAAGGTTTTACAGGTGGTATTTTTGACAGCTTACCTGTCTCTTCTTGATTTTCTTCTTTAGTTTCCTGTTTTTGAACTGGTTCAGCCTGGTTCCCAGAGACACAAATTGAAGCGCTCTGACAAGAATAACTGAACCCACCATCTCGAGGTAACGTAAAACTGCGTGGTTTCCCTCCTCCGATGTTTATTCCTGGCCATCGCTCGCCTTCGGCTAATGGGAAAGGTCCATACTGATCCTGGATCTGACACCTCTGAGCTGGTAAAGTTGATTGCCTTCTCTGCTCTGGTGATGGTAAGCCTGCTTCACAAAACACTGAGTCCTCAAGTGGAAGAGTCTGGAGATAATGTAAACCTGAACTGGTCAGTGGAGTTTCTATTAGATCCTGCCACGAGCGGCGCTCCCAACCCCCAGATTTGCGAACGGGTGACTCAGTGCTTCCAGAATGCTCCTGACGAAATTCTTCGTGAGATGAATGGGATTGAGATGTCTCAGTGGAGGAAAGCCGGCTATGTTTAGGTTCAAGGTATGGGCTTGCACAGTTCACCTAAAAGTAACGTAATAATTTGTTCAGTAATTGAATAAAAACAACTGCAAGTGAAAATAATAAATATTAAAATAAGGACCATGCTATTGTTGATCATTTTTACGTAACAAATATTTTAGATTTGTCCTGTAGCTCAGTGGTTAGAGCACTCGCTTTGCAAGCGAGAGACCTGAGTTCAATTCCAGGCAGAGCGAAACCTTGGGCAAGTTTCCTTACTCCACACGCCTAATAATAATCCCTCCAAAACCCAAAACAATAATAAATTGGTCATTTTCAATCTACGACTGTTTGTGGGACATTGCTGTGCGCAATTGGCTGCCGCGTTCGCCCACAAAAAATATACAGTCAATTCACTTTACAGTGTGTTCCGTGAAGCGCTTTGGGACGTCCTCCCGACGTGAAAAGCGCTATATCAAATGCAAGGATTATTATTATAGACAGTCTGTGTTGCCATTTTTTAAAGGCCCTAACATAATAAACATAATCATTACAATGTCTATCAAAGGTCTATCAAATTCCAAGAAATGCAGCAAGGTCTGAAATAGTTAGTATTCTACTTTTGCTGTTCCTCTACAGAGCTGATGTGATGGGTAGAAGCTCAGCTTGGAAAGTTAGCACCTGAGAATGGCAAAACAAGGGGACTGGAGAGAAATGCTAAAGACACATGTCTTTTCCTTGACCTCACGTTGTGCTCCATGACAATCATTTGGGCAGCTGAAGAAACCAGAAATGAATGTGAATGGAGAATAGTTTCACAGTATTTAACATGGAAAGTGAAACAACGACTGGTTCTGTATTCAGCTACACTTGTGCACTTTATTTGTTATTGAAACACTAAGAATCAAGAACAAGGAAAGGTTTGTGATGATTTTCATTCAGTCCAATTATGAATTTACAGACAAGTTATAAGCAACAGGGATAAAATACTACCGTTTTTATTTCTGAGATCTATTTGCCATTCTATGTTGTGCAAGAGTAATAAAAATAGAAATGGCAGCTTGAATGATGCTAGCCTTAGCTCGAACAGCAGCATAACAGATTGTCCTTTCACCTCTGGGAGCTAAATAGGAGTCTGCCAGATACTGGTGCAATAAAATGCTATTCTGCCTGCTGGTTATGAGTTCTATTAAAATAACTTTGGGCATTTTCAGCCCAGATTGTGAAGAGATGGGCCCCAGTACAACACTGCCCCTAATTTAAAAGCAATTGGTAATAAGCACTCAAACCACAGGAAACACCACAACCACATCTGGTGTAAAAAATTTAAAAGTAGCCTCTGGCAAGTGCAGCAGAGGCTACTTTTCTGTGTCTGGGTTAACGGACATAATTGAAGTAAAGCTTCACTCTGCATCTTGATCTTGATATAGGGTGACTGAAATGGGAAGGTATCCATTCTTCAGTAATAAACTGTTTTGTCAAGCCATACAAAAAAATTTAAGTCTCAATGCTATTGATATTGATAGAAATGGTAACACTGAAAAAAAATCTACATTTATGTGCATTTGTCTACAACACTCTACGACAGAAAGACAGGGTGTGTAGACTTGAGTGTGTACAGTTTGTGTATAGGTGTTTTTTCCTGAAGAACCAACTCTTTAGATAGATTTAGCATATCCCAAGTCAATACTTTAAATTGATTTGTAATTAAACTGTCCTTTAAACCTCAGATCTGTGCTTAGACGTGCTCTGCTTTCCCCCATCTCTGTAACATTGTCTATCTCTGCTACAACCTCTCCCCTGCCGCTGCCGAGGCCCTTTTCCACACATTCATTACATCAAGGCTGGACTACCCAACTATTCCCTTCACAAGCTGAAAAGTATCCAGAATTCTGGAACATGTGTTTCTGGAACTAGCCTCCACAAGTCTATCATCCCCCATCCTCGCCTGTCTCTTCATTCCCAAGATATTTGTTGTTGTACATTACCTAATATATTTACCACCTGAAAGCCTAACTTTCACATTCCACTAATGGTGAACCAGACTCCAGGCATATAGATTGAAAGCCGCTTTTGTCAACAAGTTCGTTTTTTGCTTTAACAATGGTTTGTATTTTCAGGAGTCTGGAATCATCTTGACATCTCTGGACATACAGAGATCATAATGTGCTCAACTCATTAACGTTCACCGCAGATTTACAGAAGCAAAGAAAGTTGTGCTTTCTGCTGCAATGTAGAAAGGTGAAACTCACTGAAGGTGGACGAGGGTATGTGTCATATGGAGGTGGTGGGCTCTCTTGCTTTGGGGTTGATGGAGTATCCAAATCGTCCTGATCACTTTCACTCCAGTAATCTACTAGAAACAGAAATATAAATGGCTGATTATATTGTATAGTGACATTGAGGCCTTAAAAGCTTTGTAAATCTCTATATAGACCACTTCATCAAGATCATTTATAAAGAAACCCACATCTTGATGTTCATTACCATGAACATACTTGCAAGCTTTATTTCACTGAGCTCATATATGAGTAACAGTCCTGACCCAAGACCCCAGGCGGCTGCAAACTTGCTGTTAAAATCCAACTCATTTAACACAATCTGTTGCAAATTCACTATTCTTAAAGGAAAGTAAATTCTAGAGTATCCTCCACTCAAAGAACTCCCCCAGCAATATTAGGGATAGCTTCACTTTGAAGTATTTTGTATCTTCATTGAAATGTCTTTTGAGGATCATGAAATCCGATGTTTTGGGTTTCCTATTCTGCTAGCCTGGGGCAGTGACATCTCTGGCGGAGAGTAACCGTAAATCTCCTGTAGGACATTCCTTTGATTCAGTGGGGCAGGAGTGTGGTACGAACCTGGGAATTGACTCCAGCCTTTCAACTCTGACAAAACACCAGCATTGGTTGTATTGGGTCAACTATCTCTCAGGTCCAAAGCACTCTCCCAATTGAAGTAAATGGAGATGATCCAAGCTTCTCTGAGCGACGTTACCAGAGCAGTGGGCAACCCCTATCGTTAAAATTTCAGGACATATTCTAGAGGTAGTAAACTTGTATATGACTATAATCTTGCTGCAAACAGCTTTGCCGCGTACTTTGAATAAAATGTACTGCCCCAACCTTTCTATGCCTTTTAATCCACAGTAAAAAAACATTATGGGAGAGACACAGATTTACAATTAAGAAGAGCTGTTTGCATGGCAACTTCCCTCTGTTCCTGGCAGGTTTATAATCATTATCTCTAGCTGTGTGCACAGGATGTCCAATGCACCACTAAGGTCGTGCTGGAACACAACATTCTGGATCTACTTACCTATTCTGTCATTTAAAGTGCTACAGGTAAGTTTTTGTGGGTTAATGCTTTCTGATCAGAAAATATTGATTCTTTAACCGTTCCTTTGATTGGGTTAGTTAATTCCACGAGCAGTGATTGCCCCCCCTGGGTTCTTTCAATATAATTAAAGAATAGAGCGCTTGGGTGGATTAACTAGAAGTAAAAACAAGGCGAAAGATGAAAGTGCCACATTCTTCCTCCCAGTGAAGAATTGACAGAGATCAGAAACTCAGGATGTAGAGAATTACACAAACAAATATGTCTCATAAGTGGTAACATTATGCTGCATGTGCAATTGTTTTAGGAATGTACAGAACTGGAAAAGATCATTGTGGTCCATTTGGTTTATAACAATTCTAGAATACTCCATCGCAATTTGTTTACTAAATATCTATCTAATTATATCTTAAATATGATAGGGCTTGCTTTTGAAGTTTTATAGAAATAGTTTGTATCTCTCATCAACCCAACTCCAATGTATTCATGCTCACCCAAAATATAGTAAAACTATTTTATAGTATATCCTGCGAAGCACTTTGAGATGTCTGGATAACATTGATAAGGCACTATACCAAATGCAAGGATTATTTTAGTATTCAGATCCCTCTGTATATATGGTCAGTCTGTTGTTAGCCGTTCCCCAACTGGCTATCTCTCAACATGCCATTACAACTCTGTGTGGTATTATTTTTTCGTGGAATTCAACTGCTACACTGTTAGCTATTTCAGGATGTTTCAGTATCTATGGTATGGACATTCTGTTACCGTACCTTGATCTTGTCTGAGCCTTTGTTCTTTCTCTGCATACCCAACTGTAGCTAAGCCAAGCCTGCTCAGCCACCTGTTAAGAAAAAAAGTGATCTTATGACTAAGGAACCTTTTGTGGTATAAATATTATATATATAGATATATATATGTGGCGGGTGGGGGGGGGGGGGGGCTAGGGGATAACTGTCTAAAAACAACAGCTATGTTATGTAGAAACATGGAATCTATTGGCTCCAGAGTACTGTAGATGCAGAACACAATGGGATGTTTAAAAAGGAACCATGTAGATAACTAAGAGGCAAGAGTCAAGGATCTAATAAAATGGCAGTACCGACTCAGTGGTCACTTCCTATTACTTTTGAAGAATTCATTGAAAATGAGTCGGAGTCCAGGCTAACACTTCCTCGCAGTGGTGAGGAAGCGCTGCATTGTCAGAACTGCCATCATTTCTGATAAGACATTAAACTGAAGTTTCATTTGCCTTTTCACATAAACCTTAATATTTGCATATTTGAGAAAAGCAAGTTCCTTCTGGTATTCTGGCCTACAATCCTCAGAAACAGTTGTTCATTCAGTTCATGGTGGTTTGTGGCGTATTTCTGTGCTCAAGTTGGTTGCCACATTCACCTACAAAAATATGATCAGGACAGCAATTTCCTGTGAAGCACTTTAAGACATTATTCCGGAAGGTATGATTGAAGGGATGCAAGCTCACTTGTAACAAACATTAACTTGCAAGGTAAGACTGTATTCATATGCTAATCAAATTTGAGGGGAGAAAACAGCCAAGCAGGATCCTAAACATGTCTAGTCACTCATACATGTATATTTTCTAGCAAAAGGCTTTGACTGACTATTAAGAGGTGAAATCACAGTGGCATTTCTCTTCCCTGCTTTGCAGTTCAGGATCTCTTGTATCTACAGTGGCTTCCTCAGTACAAACCAGGGCTTTTACCCAAATCTTTCTCTAGTCTAAGTCCTATTAGTGCGGCAGTGAGACTTCAAGCAAACAATCATTACTATTTATCAATTAATACCAAGACAATGTGACCGCTCACTAAATCTGAAGCAGCATGGTGTCTTAAAGTGAAGTTTATTTTTAAAGCTTAAGATTACCATGCATTTAATATCTCAAACAAACAATGTGAGTTTTGTTGAGTTATGGTGCTGCAATACAGGCTTATGATTTGCATGTGTCATCTGAACTCCACCACCGAATAACTGTCTCATTTTATACCTCAGTAACAGATCTGACATGATGGAAGTGTCTGGAGATTTATGACTATAAGCTTTGCCTATTCAAGTTAAATAGTTAGCTATGAAGTACAAGTCAGTTGTGCATTTAATGCATTTCTCACATCCTAGTTAATATTTGGTCCTTTAATTGAATCCTACTGTACATATGGGAACATCAGAAATAAGTGTGTTATATGTAACAGCATTGTCTCTGCTCTTCAAACAAGGTATATCTAATTGTCTCATTAAACAGATCTGACAAGGCCTTGCTCAGTTTGCGCTTTTCATTGTTTAACCTATTGAGAACCCGGTCTGCATATCCCACTCCATTTAGTCAGCAAAAATGCAAGTTGTTGTATCATGCATGATGGGTATAATCAATATTTTCATGACCTATCCTCCACTAAAAAGAGGAAGAAAGTTATTTTTGGTAGGAAATAGTCTTTCTGTGCAAATGACTATTCATCACTTGCTTTGAATTGCAACTACTCTTCCTGACTTGTCAGGCTATGAACGATCTTCAAGGTATGACAACATTCTACTACTTTGCACATAGTTGTACCAAGAAAATGAAATTCAATTTTAGGAATGTCTACATCATTTCTGCTAATTCTAGATTTCTTCCAGTGGTTCTTTATGGTGCAGGTATACAAAAAGGCACTTAATTCTTTCCACATATCACTTGCAACTCAAAGATTTGCTTTGGTAAACTCTCTTAATTCTGTAATGTTATTGCTTCATATACAAAGCATTTCTGCAATTTGGTTTTTCAAGAATGCCTTGGATTCACTACGAAGGCAGTGTCTCTACCAAAGTCTTTGGTTTGCAGTGCTTTTAAGCAACTTGCACACTCAGAATAGGCTTAACATATTTATTCTGGGACAAAATCAAGAAATGCTGGCAATCTGCAGCAGGTCAAGTAGTACCTGAAGGGAAAAGATAGGTTAATGTTTCAAGTTAAGACTCTTCCTTCAGATTTTTAGCATTCAAATGGTGTCTTTTAAGATTATTATAAATAATCCAAAGCCTTCCTGCCGCTGTATAGAGTCAATCCTACAGTTCTCTTCTTTCCTCCTACCCCCAATTGCAGCAATTGCACGAGTCTGTAAATCATAACCTGAAGTTTATATGTACTGTGTATTTCAACATCATGGTTCAGTGTTCTCAACCCATGAAAATAACAAAGGCAAACATTTCCCAGAATTTCTTGGAATGACAGTAGGGGGCTGAGCACCTGAAGTCACCAGTCTATACTTGAGTAATGACTGAAAATCATAGATAATTCCTTTCCTCCCTTAAACTCCCTTAAGACCATATTTTTTGGGCGTTTCACCTACAAATATACGGTCAACTCACTTTACAGCATATTCTGTGAAGTGCTTTGAGACATCTAGAAGACGTGAAAAGCGCTATATCAAATGCAAGGATTATTATTATTATTAGTAGTAGTATAATTATAATCCCTCCTTCAGAATACTCTAAAATATTTTCCTCATAGCAGTTGTCAGCCTGTACTTTCTGGATTTTCTTTTTGTAAAATGGAAAATGTTTTTCCTTGGGTGTTGTTCTCTTTTCTAATGTGTACACCAAGCAGAACATGGGCAATTTCATAAATTACTTTCTTAGGTACCATTGTAGGCATTCGATTTGGGATAATTCTTTCTTAAGAAATGTTAGGCAAAGAAAAACAAGGTCCATCTAGTTTGCCTTCCAGTCACATGCACATGTGTCCCAAACTGGCAGTCGCATGCACATATGTCCCAAATTGCCTATGTACTATATCCCATAATATTATTTCCTAATCTGTGTTTCAAAGAATCAACATTTCCTGCTTCAACCATCCCCTAAGCAGCGTGTTCTGCTTGGAAACCTTCAGTCTAACAGATCATAAGACAGTATTCTATAAGTCTTTACATTACCAATTAGAACATTAAAGAATATTCTGTTTAACCACTGTCGCCAATAATAAAACAGGAATACTGCCACTTGAAACATGCAACAGAATCTCATTATGACTTCTTGTCTTGAATAGATTAACCAGAGATAAAAACCTACATAAGAATTTTGTCAGTTCCCAAAAGATTCCAAATTATATTTAATTAGATTACATTCTTAGATTATACTATAAATGTTTTTGAAAAGTTAATCCATCAACATTACTGCACACTGATAAACACTTTCACAAAAAAAGTACTGTACCAATTGATCATTGTAGCTACGCTAACTAACTCAATTCTATTTTTAAGCTTACTTGTTCATATCATCCATATTGTCAGCTGCAAAATAAAAGCTTTTAATCTTGGGATGGCATGCCTTGAATGCACTGCAAAAGAAAGACATACACAACAGTGAGCTTGAGAATAATGGGGCTATTTCTTGTTCACATGGCAATATATACTGCAGTTTGACAGCAATAAATGTGACTAAATAGGCCAGTGTGGAAGTTGAAGTACAAAACAACACTTTAAAGAGAATTGCATTAACACTTGAAGGGAAAATATAAAAAGCAGAAGGAGGGAGCAGGGAATTGGGATTAGAATAGTTAGCTCCAATAGTTGAACTAACACAAGTTTAGGCTCAACAGGTTCCTTCTGTGTCATTATTTCTCCTGTAAGTGTACTTCAATGTAAATAAGACATGCAAATACACAGAAATCCTAGAATGCAGGGATAAATAGGGTAAGTAATCATCGCATGGAATACAATGATTTCTTGCTGCTGGGAACCAGATGTGCAGTTGATGGCTATTCTAGACTGCTCTTTGATTGGAGTCAGAGTGGTTGTCACACAACATTTTTTTTTCTTCTTCAAATATTTATCCAATTCCTTTATAATGTTATTGTAGAATCCATGATCTGCGAGAGAAATAGGCTTAATGGGCTGCATGGTTCTTTTTCCATTCATTAGCTTTTTTTAGTCAGCCAGGAGTCACATGTGGAAACCCATCACCATGCTTAACAGTATCCAAACCAAACTATATGTGGAAATTCAGGTGGATTGAAATGAAAGGTATACTTTCTTCCTATAGGTTACAACCTGCTTACCCAATTCCAGAAAGGATGAGATATAGGCTTTCAAAAGGCACAGGCAAGGTTTGGGGAGTTTGACCAGCTAAAACCACATAGTTTGCTATTGAAAGCACTGTCCAATTAATTCAGAACTCCAGCACCTGTATATTCACCTGCTCTAAACTCCACAGCCCCGTTACACCAGACCAGGATCCCCACATTCATCTACAAATTCCTTCACACCCTGGCACCTCCCTACCTTTCTGACCTGTTTACTCCCTCTCCACCACCATCTGTCTCCAGCCTCCTGCTTATTGAATCTTGATTGAATTCAAGAATTTCATCCTCACCTACAAGTCCATTCACGGCCTTGCTCCCTCCTACCTCTCCGACCTACTATCCCCCATCCTACCTGCCCGTACCCTCCGTTCCTCTGGCTCCGGTCTGCTCCACATCCCCCGCCCCAACCGCCCTACCATCGGTGGCCGGGCCTTCAGCCTCTCAGCCCCTAGGCTCTGGAACTCTATCTCCCAGTGCCTTCGCCTTGCTTCCTCCCTTTTCTCCTTCAAGGCCGGTCTCAAGACCTTTCTCTTTGACCGTGCCTTCAGCTCCCCTCTCAACTCTCTACCCCCTCCTCGCTCCTTCCCTTCCTTCCCCTCACCCTGACCATTTCCCCCCTGCTCGGGTCCTGACCCAACCGTACAGCGCCTTGGGACGTCCTCCTGACGTGAAAGGCGCTCTATAAATGGAATCTTGTTGTTGTTGTTGTTGTTGTATCCCTTGTCCCCTCTGATCCACCGTGGACAGCCATGCTTTCAGCCACTAAGCCCCGAAACTTTGGAACTCTCTCCCTCAATCCCTCCGCCTTGCCCCCTCCTTCCCCTTTCTCTGATCATGCCGGAAGCCTTTCCGCACGGTCACCTCCTCCTTGCCTCCGGCTCAGCTTCAGGTGCTCTGAGCCACTGCCCTGCATGAAGAGCTCTATATAAATGCAAGTTGTTGTTGTCTGGAACACGTCTCGCTGTTTGTCCAGCTCGACCCTACCCGTTAAGGCTTTCGCTTGCAGGATTAACAGGAGCTTTCTTTTGACATGTTTAATTTAGCAATTAGGATAATCATATTGTCTTTAGAGACAGTTTTTTTTAGCTAAACAACTTGGAATTAAAGTATTTACTGAATTCATGGTGTATCACTCATTGGTTCTCATGGCAAAATAAAACTTGTACATAATCAACCATTGACTCCATTTCCTGGCTAGTATATTGTCCAGAAAACATTTGCTTCCTTGAAAATCAATGATTAAACGATAAAGCCATTGTTACTATACTTACTACTTTTTCCGACATTCGCTCGCTCTGTCAATTTTGAACTCAGACAGGCAGATAAATCCCTCAGCCTTCTCATCCTGAGAAGAAAGCAATATAAATATATAGAGATATTTATTTGAGATAAATATTTTCTCTGCAGAATTTATCAGTATGGATCAGTTGCTTAACCATATATACCTGATGATATGCTAAAAAATGTTAGTGCAGGTTAGGATAAGTGGATCAGTATGAAGTTATATAAAGTTTACATTTAGAGCAACAACTACTAAAGCATTCATTAGTAAAGTTACTCAAATTAATTTGTCGATTCAGCTTTGTCTAATTGCAGGAATCTGGTACAAATGGTGACATTTGATCAGTAGAACATCTCGAAAAAAATGAACTACAACATGAGTGTGAATGATGCTGAAGTGTAAGCGATGGGAACAGACTGCAAATAGGATAACTTTCAAGAAATTAAACTTTCATAGTCCTCCGAAAAGACTGGGAAGATAACACTGTGACAACTATTATAGATTTAAGCTTTGGAGTGTGATCAGGATTTACTTGAATTCGTTACATTCTTCACGATGGAGCATCGTACTTGAAAAAAAACAGGTTCCAGAAATGAATAACAATCTCCAAATTGATTTACTGAAAATGACATCCATTTTCATGCATTTCATTTCTCTATCATCCAAATTCACTCTCAATTAATACAGTATGCTGTAAATTAATCAATTTATTAATCACTCAATCGCTCTAAGTCTGGTCAATTGTACTCTGTAACCAGCAATGAGAGTGATACAAATCAACTCGGCAGAGCATTTCTCTTTACTTTCAGTGTAAGCCTCTCATTTCCACTCACATGGTCACTGGAGAATTCTTGCTGAGATCAGAAACCTAATAATGTGGGGAATTTCAAGTGCCTCCTGGGACGTACCTGTTCTGTGGCATTGGAAGTCAGGTCACTAACCAACTATACCATCAGGCAGGCCCGAAAAAATATCTTGTAAAAAAAACAGAATCGTGTACTCAGAAAAACAAAACCTTTTCCTTATTTTTGGACCATGAAGTAATTTGTAGAGAAGTTAAAGGACATGTGTACTTTTGTAAATCTTCTGTTATTTCAATTATAATCCCATGGATTTCGATACTGTGTTTATTCTCAGTAAAAATATAGCTTGAGCATCAATTTAGTTATGGAATTATGACCAGCAGTTTGGTTTTCTAGCAGCCAGTTGTTGCCTTTGAGAAACTGAATCAATATTGACAATCAAAAGGTTACAGTGATTGGGGCACAGCAGAGGCCTGACATCCCTCATGGTCTTAACCTTAAGAATATAGTATTAAAATTTTGCAGAATTTGGGAATAGTCTACAAATCATCTTAATTTGGTAACCAATTTTCGGTAATTCTTAAAAGCCTGTGGGAAATTTAGTAATCATGAGAAATGTTGCGCAGCACACTATCTCTATTGATTTTGCCCTCCAACTCTTCTTTCAAAGTTAACTCCAAAACAGTGTCTTTGATATTACCTCTCACTATTGGCAAAAAAATCAAAAGCCTTTTTGAAAAGGTTAATAAAAAAGATCTAGTATTTAATAAAGGATATTGATGAAGTACCCCCTCCTGGATAATAATCTCATTTGAAATATAATTTGAAACAAAATACCTGTTGACAACGCTGAGTGTTTATGTACTTGCTAGATTTCTGAAACGTTTAAGCTTGGTGGAATGCAACATTTGTTAACAGGAACATTTCACTCCAGAGTTTTGACAAAAAATGTACAAAATATCTGGAGTGGGTATAATTTCACAGTAGTTTAGTAGGATATTAAATACACTTAATAAGGCCTTACTTCTTCATTCATGTACCAGTACAGAGAAACATCCTTCAGTACAACCCAGTATTTCTTCCATTTCTGTGAGAAGTAACTTTTGGCATCCTTCTTCTTCCATAGCCAACCTTCACAATCTCCACGCCCAAGATCCTTGCAGGAAATACGTCTCCTGCTCATGGCTGTTACCGCACCTGAAATTACCAGCAGAAGAACATTTCTAGTTATACTGTACCCGACCTAGCTAGGGAAACGTTGGCACTGCAATTGCTGTCTGCAATTGGTTGAAGGGTTGCTTTTAAAAATAACAAAAACAAACTTCCAAAAAGTATTTAGCAATTCTGTAATATCTAAAATGTTGCAATCATTTAAATTCAGCAGCTGATTGCTCATTCATGTGAAACACAAACCCTGCACCATAATTTTGGGAGTCTGTGTAGGAAAGAATGAAAAAAAATCTTGTCCTGATGTGTGGTCACGCTACATTTCCTTTCCGTCTTCCCTGTCATATTTTAATGTTGGCAGGCACTGGCCTGCTTCATATTCCCCACCCTGCTCTTCCCACCATTGGTGGTCAGGCTTTCAGCCTTTCTGCCCTCACTTGCTTTAAGGTCTGTCTCAAGACCTTCCTCTTTAACCAAGCCTTCGGTCATCTGCCTCAAGCCTTCGGTCACTATCCCTCCCAAATGCAACCCCCAGCTCGGGTGGAAACCTTCGACCATCCAGTGCACTGGGACATCCTCCCGTCGTGAAAGACCCCATATAAATGAAATTTATTATTGATAGTAGTGAAATGATGGAAGAAGGATGAAAACTCAATGCAGGAACATCCAACCTCCATTTTGCATATTCAATTGTTGGTGTTCAACTCTGCACAATACCAACATCTAGAATACAGTTTTGATACTATGGCTTTGTCTCTCTATGAGCTCTGGTGCATTACATTCTCAGCAAGGAACATCTGGGGAAGTATTTCCCTAAGGGACAGGGAGTAATAGCATCTCAATTGCTGGCTGAGATTGTTACTCAATTACAATCCTATAAAAACATGATATTGCTATGAGCATCGCTGATTGCAATTTCAACCTATTGCTTCCTACTGCAAGCAAACTAATACAGTTTAGGGGAAACTTACGCCTTCATAAATGTGTGGTAACATGAGAATGTGAATACAGTACTAAGAAAAAAATGAAGTGAAAACGTCAAACTGTACATATACCACTGTACAATAAATTCAGAAAAAAAAGTAAAAATACACAACAATTAAACCTGTCATAACACAAAGGACAACCGTCACAATTCCATTCATCTCACCATAGACTATAACCATTTGCATTCTGCTTAATCTACAATCTTATCTCTACTATCATCTGGCAAAATGATGAAACTGAAAACATACCTTTGCTTCTTTTTTTGGACTTCTGTGCCAGTGATTGTTGGAAAGTCTGAAATGAGAACAAGAAACTTGTGGAAAAAAGTTGTACAATGGAGAAATTACAATTTACTTTGTATTTTTTCCACTCTGTAACTGATGATAAGTTTGGACCTGATCTATTATTTGAGCTGAAGATCTGTACTTCCTGCCCCGTCAAAATAGAAATAGTCATTGATCTTGCTTTGTGTTTTTCAATACATTAATAAATATTTTACTTGAACATAATATTTTTTAATGTAAACTCATCAAACCTTTAACACACTTAAACATTACTTCATGTTACTGGACAGCAACCTGAAGCCAAGTCTCTGCTAACAATGCACTATAACTGGTTCCTTTCCGATTTCCCACTTCGCTGTATATGAAAATGTAAGTACGTTCCTGTAACTCACAATGCTGTAATATTCTGCCCCTGATTGTGAAGCAACACATTTTGGGCTAGTTTTATTTGTAGTCATATAAATTAACTATATTTCATTCACATCATAGACACATAAGCACGCCACCGAGCCAGGGGAAGGTGACTGTTGACAGGGCCAAAGAGGAAGGTCTTCAGGTGCAAACTGAAGATGGGGAAGGAGGGATAGAGGGAGAATATTCCAGAGTTTCGGGGGGTAGTGGCTGAAAGTGCAACCACCAATGGTAGAATGGAAGGCATGAGGGAGGGAAAAGCAAGAGGCTGAAGCCAATCGAGTGGAGGCAACAGATAGTGGGTTCGGGAGTAAGTAGGTCGGAAAGGTAGGGAGGTGCCAGAGCATAAATGGATTTGAAGATGAGTGGGAGGATCTTGAAATTGATCCATTCAGTGATAGGGAGCCAGAGGACTGCGATTGGGGTATGGAGTTTAGTGCGGATGTCATTGTTGTTTAAGCAATATTGCTGAGGTAAAACCTTAGGCAAGTTTCCTTACTCCACACACATGCCTCTGTTTAGCTAGGAGTAAGTAGGAACCCGCTTGTTAGTCGATTGGCGGATCACTTTCCGGGGCTGATAATCCCTCCGAAAAAAAAATAATTTGGTCGTTCAATCCATGATGGATCATTGAACACTGCTGTACGAAATTGGCTGCCGCATTTCGCCCACAAAATACATAGTCAGTACACTTTATAGTATGTTCTAAGACTTGATGAGGCACAATATCAAATGCAAGGATTATTATTATTATTATGTTGACTACCACTTTTGCCTAAACTATATAACTGGCACTAAACTTCATAGTAACTTATTGTGGTCTACACATGCTGGTGATGACTGACGTGGGACATCCTCCCAACGTGAAAGGCGTTTTACAAATGTAATTTTGCTGCTGTTGGGATCATTGTGTGGATGCCTTTGTATGAAACTCAGCTCTTTGGCGTGATAAGCTAATCCCAATTCTGGCAGGCAGTCTCTAGGGCTAGTGACGCACCAGATACAGTCAGGTGCTTTCTCAGAAATTACTAGGGCAGCGAATAGATGTGACAAGTTTTATTTCTGATCTGATATTGAACTGAAGGGGAAAAAAACAGAACAAAAAAAGGCAAAATATTGCAGATGCTGGAAATCTGAAATAAAATCCGTCTCAATCCCTTCAGTTCAACAGAAATTGCTGGGAAACACTCAGCAGGTCAGGCAGCATCTATGAAGCGAGAAAAGTGAGTTAATGTTTCAGGTCAATGACCTTTCCATGACCAGAAACATTAACTCACTTTACTTTCTGCATAGATGCCTCCTGAGCTCCTTAGTGTTCCCAGCAACTTCTGTTGAACCGAAGGGATTGAGACTAAACTGACCCAACAATAATTTTTCTTAAGCACAGGGGCAGCTTCACATCAAAAGTTTAAAGGCTGGTAAATCAGAGGGTTTAAAGGTTTTTTTCTTTCAGTTGACTTATTAAATATGTAGAGTATATATTTTTGAGATTAACCAATCAAAAAGTTCAGATGTAATATTAGGACTGAATGGAGTGTCAATGTATTAAGCTGATGAATTGCCCACAGTTGAGAGTTCAATTGAACAACATGTAGAAAGTGGAACTAGAATTGTGATAGAATTCAACACTAGGAAACTTGAAAATATTATTGTTCTCTCCAAGGCTCCAATATCCATTGATCTCATTCTTTCAGTTATCCATCCTACAGTCTCCCATAAAATCCCTCACACACATCTTGGAGGTGGCATACACATTTTTGATAAAATCCAATTAAAAATGTGCCATAGAGAAAGTCACATTTCATACAATTTGATAAGACCTTATAGCAAGGAAGGAGTGTGAATGTTTGAGTCAGTCAGTGTAAAATTATTTGTAACAAGACATTGTATTATGTATATTAGCATATTTTAATTACAATGCATTTCTAAAACACAATTAATATTTTATAAAAGGGGTATGAAATATAAAACCAAGGAAGTAATGCTGCAGATGTATAGAACACTGGTGAGACCTCAGGAATAAGAATAGTGTATTAAATTTGGGACAAATATATTTAGAAAGGCTGCATCAGCCTAGGAGGGCATCCAACAACAACAACAACTTGGATTTATAGAGCGCCCTCCACGCCGGACGGTGTTTCAGAGCGCTTTACAGTAACGGATCCTGGGACTGAGCCAGGGGGAGGAAGGTGACCAAAGGTGCAGTCGAAAATTAAGGTCTTCAGCAGAGACCTGAAAATGGGAAGGGAGGGAGCGAGATGAAGGGAGTGAGGAAGGCAATTCCAAAGCTTCAGGACATAGTGGCTGAAGGCATGGCCGCTGAGGGTGGAGCGGAGGACTCGGGGGATGAGGAGAAGGCCAGACCTGGAGGAACGAAGGCAACAGGTACTGTTTTGATCCAAAAAATCCAACAAAAAATTCTCCAGATTAATACATGGAATATAGGACTTTAGCGATGTTGAAAGGCTGGGTAAATTTGGATTACATTTCCTAAAGCTGAGATGGTTAAGGAGTGATATAATTGTACTGTTTGGCTGCAAGGTGACATGTTTGCCAACGGAATGTCGGAATCAAGCCAGCCCTCTGTGGCGGGCTTGGTGATTTGGTTCCTGAGCGGGTCCACAGAATTCCAGGGCACTGATGATGACAATAACAACAACGTCCATTTCAACTTGATAGCCCCTTCACTCGGGGCAGGGTCCCGGAGCACAGCCGGCTCCTGGCTCATCAGCAGGATTTGGAAGGGCAGACCGGTCAATGGGAGGACGTCCCTCAAGGATTAGGACCCGAGTTGGGAATCCTCCCATTTAGCTTTAAATGGTTAACCCTTCAAGCCAAAGCCCTAATGGGCAGTGTGGTCCTACTTGACAAGCAGTGGAAAGCTTGTCATACTGGTGCTATGAATGACAAGCTCCAGTAGTATCCCAAAGCACACTTTGGTGTCCCCAAGCCTTGGCTCCAGCTATCCTGTGTCTAATCCTTTCCAGAATTAAGTAAGGATGCATTCCAATCCAACAAGTTATCTCTGGAATTTCCATGTGTAGGTGGGAATGCATGGAAATCTCAGTTTGGTTTGGATATTCTTAAGCATAGTGATGGTTACAACAACAGTGTAAGTGGGATTAGTATAAGTGGGAAGTGGAATACTTGTTTATTGAAAGTAATGGAAAAACGTTTGTCCCTTTGTTAGTTTTGCAATTATGGATTAATAGTTTTGGGTTTTGCTGAGCATTCTCTGCATAAAAATTAACTTGATGTACATACTGTATTATTTCCATTTGAGTTTATTATTATTTTGATGATTGGTGACATCATCTGCAGACATGGGGACAACTTCCTGCCCTAGCCCAGCTCCACTGGCTCCCTTTCCCTTGGAGGATCGAGTTCAAAATTCTCTTCCTCACCTTCAAGGCCCTCCATGGCCTTGCGCCCTCCTACCTCTCTTACCTGCTAACCCCTTATCAACCTGCCTTGCTGAGTGGAAGGAGCGGTGGGGTGAGGCGATAGTGGAGTCGAGCAATGTTGTGGATGCGGGCGAGAAAGGACATTTGAGGGTCAAACAAGACGCCAAGATCCCTGACTGCTCCATGTGCCTCACCCGGCCTGCCCCACCATCTGCGGTCAGGCCTTCAGCCTCTCTGCCTCCACCCACTGGAATTCTATCCACATTCCCTTCGCCTTGCTACCTCCCTTGCTTCCTTCAAGGCATGCCTCAAGACCCTCCTCTTCGATCGTGCCTTCGTCCACCCTTCTATCCTCTCTGCCCTCCCTGATTCCCCCCACCACCACCCAACTCGGGTCCTAATCCCTGAGGGACGTCCTCTCAAAGTGAAAGGCGCTTTACAAATGTAATTTTGTATTGTATTAAATGATGTGTTTTCACTCACTTATTTCTTTCACTCTCAATGTACTTTAGATTTGGAGTTTACTCTAGATCTAATGGTTATTAATGCATGTATGCACATTATTCATAAAAGTATATTATTGTTCTAAAACTTGTATGAATATTTATATTTAAAATTTTACATTTAAAACCTATTTAAAGTTTGCACTGTTACTATAATATAGTGAAATTACATAATAGTTACACAATTTAATACATAGGATTTCTACATGTTCCTTACAGGTTATGTCTTTGGAAGGTGTAAGACAAATATATTGCTTATGGGGCTCGGGGATGTTTCTCAAATACAGCATCCGGCCCTCAGCAGCCAAAACGCTGGACCACCCTAGCTTACACTATGTGACATGATGTCCCAATGTGGAACTTGAACCCACAACCTTCTCACTCAGAAATGAGAGTGCTATCACTGAGCCAAGCTGACATTTGCATTGCTTGGGATGAGTGAATCTCATGAATAAAACACAACTGCGTTAGTTTTGTGCCCGAAAAAAAGCAAATTACATACTTTTTTTTAAAAGGAGCTTAGTTTAATTTCTACTCTGGAAATTTAAGATTAAAATTTAGAGCCTTGAATTTTTACATTATTCAAGAGAATAATCTAATATTCACAGGCAGGCAAACAGTACAATATCAGATATTCCCACTGCTTCTAGTGCTAAGGAGATTTGGGGGAAAACCCCCAAAATGATTAACCC